CAGACAACGCTTTAAGTATGAATCAGGCAGTGAACACCCTGTAATAACTTCACAGTTTATAGGTCAAGAATCACCATTCTAGAACTCTTAAACTCTATCAGGGGACCTCAGTTCCACAGTACTCCCTCCTCCTCAATACAAACTCAGGCCTTTGCCTTCATACATGCAACTTTCCTAATAATTTCTTTAGAGTCAAATGCAATTAATTTCTCTCTGTAATACTAAACATGAATGACATTCTTCTGATTTTGCAGACTCTGTCCAAGTCAATACACTACTTTGGAACTCTTCTGCCTCTAAATATGGTTTTTGGCCCTTTTTCCTAGAATTTTTATTTCTTCTTTCAAACCCATGGCAACAGTTCTCAACCTATTTCTGACTCCATTCACTGCTGGGTAACTGCCATCAATGATATCTCTCTCAGTCTACCAGCTGGCACTATTCCTCAACATAAGAGTACTGCTCCTGTGGCGCCTGGCTGTCTCAGTTGATAGGGTATATGACTTGATTTTGGGGTTGTAAATTTGAGCCCCACAATGGGTACAGAGATTACTTTAAAAAAAAAAAAGTACTATCCTATTACCTTGAACCTTCTTGGCCTAACTAGTCTCTGAATTTCTATCATTCCACTTGTAGTCTATAACATGGCAATGAACAATTAACCAAAAAGCCCTAGCATCACCCACACCTTCTGCATTCCTTGTATTGCACTTGGGTATTCATTGTTTCTTCCAATCCAACAGCAATTCCTTGAAGGCAATTCCCTTATTTTAGTCATCTCTCTGAAGGGCAAAGCACTAAGTATAAAACCATCACTTCAGATATCTTCCAATGCTTTCTAGGTACCTGAAATATACAGTCAAAAATTCCCAAACCACAGAAAGAGAACACCATTTTGCAGGATGCTAAATAGGGACAAAGCAAAAGAAATGTTCCATAATTAAAGGTTTAAGAAATACTGGGTTGAAGTCAACAGGTTTATTTGTAGAACTTTCTAGAAACTTTAATCTTGCTAATTGTGACACTTCAAAAGCAGAATTTCCCACACTTGTGTTATTAAACTCTTTCCCACCTTCTATTGCTTATAACCAGCACCTATTAACTTCTCCCTTCCAGAGAACACAACTGAGGAAATGCTTATTAAGTAATTAATCATTTTCTTTCACAACTACTTTATATCCAGTATAATTTCTAAGGATATATTAATAGTACTGGTTTTATGATTTATCCTAGCAGCCAGTCTTAGCATCCCTCAATTACTTCCAAAGCTATTAGTATAAATACAAAAAAAAATTTTTTTTAATGTTTATGGATAGAGAGAGAGAGAGCATGCGCACGCACGCACACATGCACGCAGGGAAGGGGGAAAGAAAGAGGGAAAGAGAATCCCAAGTAGGCTCCTCACTGTCAGTACAGAGACCGACTTGGGGCTCAATCTCATGAACTGTGAGATAATGACCTGAGCCGACAGAGTCGGATGCTTAACCAACTGAGCCACACAGGCACCCCAAATACAAAAATCTTTTTAAGGAGTCATTTCAGGATACTTTTATTTCTTCTTAAGGTATGTTTCAGGTCGGGTTCAAACTCATAACCCTGAGATCAAAAGTTAAATGGTCTAGCGACTGAGCCAGCCAGTTGCCCCAAGGATACTTTTAAATTATAAGCTCCCTTACTGTGTCTAAATAGGGCCTCATTTGCCAAAATTCCATTTATATATACCACTGGATCACAGGGGTATACCTGCTCCTCCAGGGACAATGTCTAGAGGCATTCAGAATGGTCCCACCTTTGGCACACCATCATAGGCTATCCTATAACACAGCCTCTAACAGCACTTGGCTATCCCAAACCCCTGGTAATATAACTGTTTAACTTTATACCAAGGAGGTTGGAAAAGCTCCAAAATCCACATGTGGTGTGTGCCCAGGCCAACTTTGAGGAGTTTGTGCTGTGAGACCTACAGTTCTTAGAGGTTGTCTAAAAGAAAAAAACATGTCAACAGAGATTGTGGTGATTCTGTGTGTGCTGTGTCAGGGACTGGATCAAGCAGGCTTTTCTTACTGTGGAGCAGAATACTGTTTTGAAAGTGTTGAAGGAACAAACAGAGTCAGAAAACTAAATTAAATGCAGTTTTGAGGAGCGCCTGGGTGGCTCAATCAGTTGAGCTTCCATCTTCAGCTCAGGTCATGATCTCATGGTTCATAAGTTTGAACCCTGCGTTGGGCTCTGTGATGACAACTCAGAGCCTGGCGCCCGCTTTGGATTCTGTGTCTCTCTGTCTCTCTGCCCCTCCCCTACTTGTGTTCTGTCTCTCTCTCTCTCTCCCCCTCAAAAATAAATAAACATTAAAAAAAATAAAGAAAAAGAAATGCAGTTTTTAGTAATAGAAAATTCAGAGGCACCTAGGTGGCTCAGTCGGTTAAGCATCAGACTCTTGGTTTCAGCTCGGGTAGTTATTTCAGAATATGTGAGATTGAACTCCACGCTGGGCTCTGCACTGACAGCATGGAGCCTGCTTGGGATTCTCTCTACCCTTCCCCTTCACTCTGTTCTCAAAATAAATAAATAAATAAACATTTTTAAAAATGTATCAAAAGCTTTTTTAAAAAAAGAAAGGTTATTACCCTACATTTATAAAGAAAAAAAAACAGCAAAATCTGCTAAAAGTTGGGGGTAGTAGCTTAAGTGACTTGCCATCTCTCACCAAAACAAAAGATAGTACAAATAAAAAAGGACAAAGTGTATTCCAAAGAACCATGAATGAGAGGATAAAATAAATTTGGAAAAGAGGCACACTATTCTTCTCTGGGAGATTCACAACACTTATTAGACCACTAAAAGATCCAAGAAACTCTCCAATGAAAACAGCCAGTTCAACACTGTTTAATCTACTGCTTACCTAATTTACTTGACCATGGAATCTTTTTTTTTTTTTCCTGATTAACACTACTAACATCCCAACACAAGCTGGTAAACATTACGAAAGTCTTAGTACATCTGATTGGAAAAAGCATTATCACAGAATCTTCATTCTTCTGCTTCAACATTTTACAGTGTTGAACAAAATAACCTCTTAGAAAAACTTGGGACTAGGTAGCAGGTAATCAGAAGGTAAAATTATGAGTGGGGGGATGGGTGAAATAGGTGATGGAGATTAAGGAGGGCACTTGTCTGTGATGAGCACTGGGTGATGTATGGACTTGTTGAATCACTGCACTGTACATCTGAAACTAATATAACACTGTATGTTAACTGTACTGGAATTAAAGTAAAATGGAAAAAATAAACTTCTAAATTTTCCCATCTAATTCCATTCCCACTCACTTCCTCTGCCTAGAAATTTTATTTCAATGACTGAGATGCGGGAAGAAAATAAAGACGATGGCTTAACAGTTCAGTTTCAGAATTTACATTAAAAAGGAAATAAATTCTGAACCTTGTTTCTTGAATCATGCAAAACTCTGTTATGGATTACAAGCTTCAAATATTATTTCTTTAGAACCCATCTGTTTCCTCAGCAGTAAAACTCTATGGAATGGGGATGTTGGCTGTATGAAAACTCTTACTTAATCTAGTCTCCACCCCCAAAGCCTCACCCTTATCTGAACCTTTCCAAAGCAAATCTGACTTTTTCTTTTATGACACTCTGACTCCTTTTTTTTCCTGGAACAAGATAATTTGCAACCAGAAAGCCTGATGCTTAACAAGGCTCACATCTCATCATTCAGGAAGAGTCATCTTGGGGATTAACCAGTTTTGCAAATTCACTACTTCACAACTACAAACTAAAAATGTGTTTTTCAAAACCACTCTACCAATCAGACATAGCAAAAGTACACATGATTGTAAAGTCAGCTCCAATCTAATAATTTCAGAAGCTATTTACAGATTTTTCTGTTTTCGAGTTTTTTAAATCTACTCTAAATTTAAACCTGCTCCTTCTTTTCAGAAGCTGAAATTAGCGGAGAGTTAAATACAGGAAAAATATAAACTAATGAGAGCAAGCTCCCTCCTGCTAGGGTATTCTTGCAAAAGGCTATAAAGAATAAGTTTCCCAGATAGCTTCCATTCTATTACAGTCCTACTTCTCCCTTCTGAAAAAAGCATTCCTCTTCCAGAGATAAGGTTAGTTGTACATTTCAATAAGAGGTAACAAAACAATTATTTGGCCAAGTTAATACCTACTTTAGTGCTTATCAATCATTTCAGATATAATTCTGACAGTCCCCTTTACTACCAGTTTTAGGTAATAAAACTACTAAGTCTCAAAACATGGCATAAAAGCACCTATGTTTTAACTGCACTTGATAAAAAATGTATTAAATATGGACCAACACTGTTCATGGGTAAGTGTTTTAAATGGGTGCAAATGCACGTGATAAAGAATGTTATGGTCACTTTCAGGTCTCTTCCACTAGAGGGTTGGGTCTAAGCCCATTCACCAAGTTATTGATTAGCAATGGTTTCTGTTGAGACAAGGGGTGGCAGGAAGTAAGATCATGTATAATGCCATTGTCGTAGCTCTAGCTATATATAGTTCTATCTTCTATTGGGCCTGCCCGAAAGAAAGCAACTAAAAATAAATATCTTTAAAAGATAAACCCTAGAAGAATGCAAGATAAGTTCGAGAGATATCACCTGATGTTCCACAGGTTGCCTCACTCACCTGATGGACTCTTTTGAAGGCAAACCCCTCCACACTTCAGTTCCCTCTGCCCTCTCTCCTTTTCCAAGACATTTATCTACCTTTTGGTTCCCTTCTTCGCGCAAAACCGCCCCGTTTGCCCCCCAGATCTCCGCTAGGGCCCGCCCTCCTCTCAGGTGCCCTGCTAGGTCCACCACCCCCACCCCCGCTCGCACAGGCCGGCCTCCGCACCCAGCACCCAGACTTCACACCCTCCCCACTCCGGCTCCCGCCAGCGCCTCCGGCCTCCGCTGCTCCCGCACCGCACCCCAGCACCGCCCCGCAACACGCCCCCCGCCCGCAGCCCCCTTACCGCACATGATGCAGAAGGCACGATCCGCGAGCAAGCGGCAAGCAGCTGGCGAGGTCGGGAGCGCACACGAGAGCCTCTGGGGCAATCGGCAAGCTGGGGGGCGGGGGACACGCCGACACGACTCCCTCGGGGATGCGACGGCCGAGGCAGCGACAGCCTTCCCGGCCTCCCGGGCTCGCCAGTAACTGCCGATGGGCCCCGCCCCTCGGCGCGCACCGCGCCGCCGCCGCCACCTCTCGCGAATCCCATTGGGTCGCGACCGCGCCGCTCACGCGCAGCTCCCGCCTCCCCGTGCCGCCCCGCCCCGCCCCCGAGCCCACGCAGGCGCTGGCCTGCTGGCGACGAAGACGTGGCACCCGCCAGCGGCGGCCGCATCCGCTTGGAGTTCCTAGAGCCGCCCGGCCCCCGGACGAGCAGCTGGAGGCACCACGCTGTTGGGGGGGGGGGGGGCAGAAACTCGATGGCTGGCAAAGACGGGCGTTAAGGAAACAGGATGGAATTGTTAGCAAAGCAAATAGCCTTGCAGCCCGCGCCCAATGCTGTCCAAGGCCCCAGGCTCCGGCACCCCACGAAGCGGCGGAAAAAGGAGGAAGAAAGCGGGAGGCCTGAAAAAGGGGATCCTGAGGGGCAAATAAACAAGTCAGGATGGAAAAGGGACATAAAGCTGGGGGAGGGGGGGAAATGCGAAGAAAATTGAGCGAAGTAGGGAGGAAAGGTATAAAAATTCTTGATGCAAAGAGCCATTCAGGTTCGGCCAGTCTTTCTGGTGACAGGCAATTCAGTTACTCAAGCTCTATGTAATATACTTGGCCTCTAAACGCCCTCCGTACCCCACCCCCACCCCCATCCATTGCCTCCCTAACCCCCAGGTTTTATTTGCCAAGGAGATAGGGTGGGAAAATGTAAGGCTAAACGATACAACACAGTGCCCCTGGGCTTATGAAATTCGGCTGGCCCAGACTCCTGATGGCCCACCTGAGAAGACTGGGAATTGCCTAGATTTGACAGCCTAATGTTTGACTCACTGACGATTAATTCTGTGAATTAATGCACCGTTCCTGCCAAGACAGACTTAATCAGAGAGAGATGATGTTTTTGAGAATTTATTACTCAAGCATTTGCTCTAGGAAGATTTAAATGGTACCTTTAGTCAAATGTAGATGGTTATCATAACTATTAATGGCTCCAGATTAGAATCAAATAAAAACTTGATTGGCATACAGAACATGGCATCGACTTCTGACCCCAGATAGCTGGCCTTACCTCACATTTACAGTCTTCCTACCCTACCTCCCAGCCCTTTACATTCCAACAATGCTACAGGGTTTCCCAACTGGGCCAACATTCTCATATTTTGTACACATTGGTTTCTCTTTGTGGAATCCTCACCCTATCTCTACTTAAATGCTACTACCTCTTGGGGAAAACTTATCTTGTCTCTTCAGACAGAGTTAAGGACATGTACCAACCTCTCTCATTCTCTGAACTGCTCCCTTAAAACCAATATACTTCTAACATTTGTGTATTTCCCTACTGGGCTATATGTTTCTTGAGGCTAGCCCAAGCCTCTGCATACTCAACACCTAGTATAAACCCTAGCACAAAATAATAGATCAAAAATGTTTTTGAGGCACCTGGCTGGCTCAGTCTGTGGACCATGAGACTCTTGATCTTGGGGCTGTGGGTTTGGGCCCCACATTGGGAGAAAAGATTACTTAAAGGAATAAAATCTTTTAAACAATGTTTTTGAATGAGTGAAAAAAAAATCCATATTTTTTCCTAGCAAAATTGACTTCCTATGGCTGGTTATATGACCAAGTGAACAAAGGGCTTTTCAGATTTTCTTAGAGGTAAAAATATGCCTTTTCATTACTTGCCTCAAAGAGAGGCTGGAAAATACAACATTTAATGAATCAAAGTATTTATCACCTAAGAGCCCTTTAACATTTCAGACCCTTAAACAGGTCCTTAAATGACCCCTGAGCAAAGTTCAAAAAAACAGTGAACTGTTTGTTAATAGACAACACATTTCTTAATTCAAGAGGCAAAACACTACAGATGTACAGCTTAGCCTCAGAACCCTCATCCAAGAGTTTCTAGTAAGACCACAGTGATGGTACCAAGGAGTCAAGGTAACAAACAAGAGAAAAGCAAGGGGTTCAATAGTATCTTAGTTTGGGCATGAAAACTATGGTTGTACTGCTGGCACTTTCTTTGTGGCATCAACAGGTTTGGTAGCAGTGCACAAAGGTTTTGTTCAAACACTGGAATCATACTTTTACTCCTTGGTGACTCTAGTTAATAATATTGTTGGTTCTTCATTTCTTTAGAAATGGCAACTGGAAGTCTTGATGGCCTTCTCCCCATCAGGCTGTATGGCAAGAAGAAGGTTGAGAGAAACTTTGAAAGTCAATATTTTCCTAACCCAATGCAACAAAGAGCCTTTTATAACTATGCTCCATTCAGGACACTAATGTGAAAGAACTGTTTGTCTAACCCCCATCTTTATAGAGCTTTGCCTTAGCTGGACCTTTGGGACTAGGGGCTGGAAAAGAAAATAAATGATCTGTGAAGGAAAGGGAACATCTGGGTCTAATTCAAACATCTGAAGATATGGATTTTCTCTCCTCATCAAAAATTCTGAACTGTACTTAAAAAAAAGAAAGAAGGAATGATGATAAGGAAGTGCCATGCATCATCTCTCTATGTAAGTCCATTTCCCTGTTCACGTTCTGTTAAACCTGATGGCTCTCAGTCTCCTCCGTGCCCTACAGCCTGATGGGAAGAAGGCCATCATGGCTTCCAGCTGCCATTTCTAAAGAAATGGAGAATCATAATTAAAATAGCCCAGAGGTGCCTGGGTTTCTCAATGAGTTAAGCATCCGACTTTGGCTCAGCATGATCTCATAGTTCATGGGTTTAAGCTCTACATCAGGCTCTGTGCTAACAGCTCAGAGCCTGGAGCCTGCTTTAAACTGTGTCTCCCTGTCTCTCTGTTCCTCCATTGCTCATGCTCTCTATCTCTCAAAAATAAATAAATAAATGTTTAAAAACTGTTTTTAAATAATAAAACAACTTTGTAAGATTTTTATATGTTCCCATGTTTGTGAATTTTGTAAGCCCTTATCTGAATTCCAATAATAAACAGTAATAAAAGTATTAAAATTAAAAAGTCCTAGATATAAACTTCCAGTTATAAGTCCTGGGGATGTAATGTATAGGATGATAACTGTACTGAACTATACTGAATTGTATATTTGAAAGTTGCTAAGACAGTAGATCTTAAAAGCTTGCATCACAGGGGAGTACCTGGGTGGTTCAGTCAGTTAAGCATCCGACTTTGTCTCAGGTCATGATCTCGGTTTGTAGTCTGCGTCGGGCTCTGTGCTGACAGCTCAGAGCCTGGAGCTACTTCAGATTCTGTGTCTCCCTCTCTCTCTGCCCCTCCCCTGCTCACGCTCTGTCTCTGTCTCTCTCATAAATAAAAAAGATTTTTTTAAAAAGCTTGCATATGTTTGGTGATGGGTGTTAACAAGACTTAGTGTGGTGATGTTTTGCAACATATACATATATCGGATCATTCTGTTGTATATCTGAAACTAATATGTCTGTTATATCTCAATTTAAAAAGAAAGGCCTGTGCATAACAAGAATATGGGAAGCAGAGACACAAATGTCCTGATTTTTAGTGGAGAAATGTACCCAGTGGACAGAGAAGATGGTGGTATCAAAGGAAAAAGAAACAGGCAGAATCATAATGCCTATGAGATGGAAGAAATGGACACAAGAACAAAGGACATCAGCCAGGGCATCAGAAAGACACCTTAAGTGAACCCCTTTGGTTCCACCACCACCCCAATTCAAACCAAAGTGACCTTTCAAAAATACAAATCTGTTTCTGTTTCTCCATGCTTCAAGTTCGGTGGGTATCCTGCAGGGTTAAGTCCAGACTCCTGTGTGCACACACATAATCACTCAGGACTTCATTCCTGCCAGTTTGATCAGCACCATTTCCCACCCCTCTGTTCAAGCATCTTAGGGCCTAGGTCTTCTGAACTAGTTCCCTAAAAAAGGCCTATGATCCTCCTCCACCTTTGCATTTGCTCCTTTTTGAAAGGAAGCATTAAAAAGGAAACCAGCTATTCTTTTCCTTGGCACTTCCTACAGAGGGCGCAGCCATCTCCTACCCGGCACCACGACTGCCCTCAGACCTCTGGTGAAGCCCAAGATCGTTAAAATGAGGACCAAGAAGTTCATCCGGCTCCAGTCAGACTGATATATCAAAATTAAGCAGGACTGGCAGAAACCCAGAGGCACTGACAATAGTGTGAGCAGAAGATTCAAGGGCCAGATCTTGAGGCCCAGCATTGGTTATGGGAGTAACAAGAAAACAGAGCACATGCTGCCCAGTGGCTTCCGGAAGTTCCTGGTCCACAGTGTCAAGGAGACTGAAGTGCTGCTGATATGCAACAAATCTCACTGTGCAGGGATTTCACAATGTCTCCTCCAAGAACCGCAAAGCCTTTGTGGAAAGAGCAGCCCAGAGGGCCTTGAGGATCACCAATCCCAATGCCAGGCTGTGCAGCAAAGAAAAGAAACAGACAGACAGCTTATGTGCATGTCGTATTTGTGTTAATAAAACCATAATACTACAAAAGAAGAAAAAAGGAAACCAGATGTTAAATAGTTAGGGCAGACTGTAGAGAACTAGATAGTCACAAAATCGGGTCTTAAGGGCACCAAAAAGTTCCCTCGTCCAGAATTACCTCCACTCCTTACCTATCACTTTGCCTAAACTATTTGTACTTCTATATTTAATGCAGAGCACCTCCCTTTTCTCCAGGAGATATACATTATGTCATTATCATCTAGTAACACTTTATAGTAACACTACCTATAGGATTAGTTTTCATTCGGGTATCAGGTATGACAAGGTCACTGAGGAAATGAGAGTTTTGATGAGGATGAACTTGACTCTGAAATCAGTAAGAAGGCAGATGTGAACATATCACCTTGGTTGATGACACTGGGCAAGAAAGGGACAACATAAGGGCATGTGGAATTGAGCATGACAGTAAAGAGAGAGGGAGCTGAGGTATGGAAGAAGCAATCAGAAATAAGTTGGTAACGAAAGCAAAGTTTATCCACTGTAATGGTTAATTTTATGTATCAAC